ATTAGACAGCCTCTCCTTTGGTTACATACAGCTGCAGGCATTGGGTGGGACTCTGTGGCTGCAAATACCTAAGAGGAAACATAGAGAACAATGCCAATATACAAGCGGTGAGAGGCTCTGTGCAACGTTGTGTAATGCTACTGACCTCTTTCACGGGGCAGCTGGAAGACAGTTACCTTCTGAACATGTTAGTTGGATAACAGAAAAACAGATTAATGAAAGCCTTTGTTAAAATCCACTTGGAAGCAGTCCAGCTGTAATCATCTCCCTTCTGCTGTTCCTTGAGCACTGGACAACTCATCACATGAGTATTTATGGCCTGGCGGCTGTTTGTGCACAGGTCTTAAGTCTGCTTTTAAGTCTGAGATCCTCCTATGTAGTCAAGTAAAATCACTAACGCTTTGACTCTAGTAAGGAAAGGAAGAGGAGAGAAAGAAAGGAAAAGACAGGGGCAACATGTTAGAGACAAGCGAGAGATACCAAGTTAAGGAAATTCTAAAACATTATCCATATCTCCTGCGATCTGAGCACAGGAGAAGGCACCACGCAGGCATGCTTGCGGTGGTTCAGGCAGCAGAACAATACCAGGTCTCCCAGGTAACAACCGTACACAGTGAGCAATCACAGCACTTGACACACTGCAAATCCATAGGCTGTAATTTGTTCGGGCAAATGACTCAGCCAGAATTGATTAATCAAATACTTACGTCTCTTACACTCTCAATTAGCAAACTTAGTAAAACCATGATCAATGTGAAGATTGTTAGCAGCAGAACACCCTTCCCCCGACACACTTTCCCAATTAGCTTCATTATTCTCATAAACTCTTGCTGACCTGTCAGTCACCTCTATCACTGAAGTTTTGATATTTCAAGGCAACTGTTTGGATGATTCAGATAATCATTAAAACTTGTACACATTGTTGCTGCTAAAGGTTTCTCCCATATTATGACCGGGTGCAGTGGGAATGCCCGAAATAATGACCTCATCTTTCAGTACATGAGGAATAAACAGCGACTACCTGACCAATCCAACAGGCACATCAGTTGCAAACTGCATGGAGATCTGCATAGCATGGCAAGACAGGTGAGGGTGAAAAAGGATCACCACGTAAATTATTAGAATGACTCTAAACCAAATAGAGCTGGGCTACAGGTCTGCAAATCCTGTTTCCAAATTTTGAGATCTCTGCATTTTTGCTTGGATTTGAACTCGATGCCCAGGATAACGACTGCATACATAACGACAACTGTACTTAAAGGATTTGTTTTCCTGTCTGCAGTCTTCACAGTGCTGGGGTCACCCTTTTGCACGCCACTGAATGAATGTGTCTGAACGAGCCTGCACAACAGGAAGAAGTTGCACTGCATAGCAGGTAGGTCATGCACTGAGTAACATGCAGGTATCCCGTTTCCGCAGCTACAATGAGTGCCTGGTCATCTCTGCCCATGGAGAATGGGTCAGACGTGAGGCTGGAAAAAGCACAGTCCTACTTGGTCCCTTTGCGTAAACAAGCCTTGACCTCAGCCAAATAGCTTAGGATTGTTAATAAAGAACAACTTTGTTAGGCATTTGTCATGCTCGCACTGGCTGATGAATAGAGGCTGTGAGATGGTGTGGCGAAGGGGAGGCTGAGGAACAAAGCTGCCCAAACACCAAGGGAGGCCTGGAACTGTGCAAACAGCTACAGACAGACCAGGTTCATCACAACAGGTCAAAACATAAGAAGGCAAAGCAAGATACAGAAGATCCACCAGACACAACTAGACATCAGGGAGGAAAAAATCCTGGTAGTCCAATCCTGCACTCATCTTTTCCATGACAGCAGGACCAGGCCCCTGCCTGCCACCTAGCCAACTTCTAGCCAGCCAGGGCCTTTCCCCCCCTGATTTTGGCTAATCTTTTCCAGTGGTTTTGCTCCCTGGCTTTGCCTTCTGGTAACACTGACATTAGACATTTGAATAAATAATAATTAAAACAGACTGGCATTGAGTTTTGCTGTGAGGAGCATTTTTCCACCACAGGGGTGTAAGCTGCTTGCCAGTCACCCACAATTTTGTTTGGCAAAAAAGAGAGGGATTAAAAAATAAACACAGAGTAGTCAGATTTGCAATGGCTACCTGTCTCCTGTATATTATTTCTCCAAGAACTACAGAACATTGTTTGGAGTGATTCTGTGCACAGTATTTTCCACCAGCTGCCCATGGCCTGAAATGCCAGGGATCTGAATCAGGGTCAGAAGCCCCCTGACACAGCAGAACTACAGACACATTAGGCAATTTAAATGAAAGTCAATACAAGAAACAGGCATTTGATTTGGATGTAACTAGTTCAAACATTTCCAAAGCCACACTTGGGTGAGTCACAACACCTCCCACTACCCCAAAACCTTTAGATGTTTGTGTCTAAAAATGGAGTCAGGAGGTTTACCCTTCACAATCAAGACTGATACAAACCAACAGTGCTATAAACCAATTCTTCTAAAAGCAATAACAGCTCAGCTGTGAATCACTGGAACGTAGTGACTAACCTCTGGTGGAAAGTAGAACTTGTTGCCTTACCCACAATTTTCTTCCTTACCTCAGAAACACCAGGAACAAACTAAATCTGGGCATCTTAAGTGTGCACCCAGGAGGAAGAAGAGCTAGAACACTGATCATTTATAGCAATAGCTTGAAAGGAAAGGCTGCAATTATCAGGTGAAAAAACACAATCATTTTTATTGTCTCAGTTTCTGCTAATAAATGAGTACAATCACTTTTTGATCAGGCTTTTTTAGACTAGCTTTTGTCCACTCTCTAAAACTATAGGTTGTGCAAAAACACTGCAAAAATTCTTGCTCTGGTGTACAAGAAATGTAGAGAGAAAAAAAGGCAAGAACAATGTACAGAATATATCTGGATGACAGTCATTCCAAAGGCAAAATTATTACAGGCTATTATCTAGTTGTCTGGAGGAGCCGTGGACCAGCTGGCTGTGATGTTCTGCTCAAAGTTAAACACAGACAGGAAACCGCATGTCTGATACTGTAAAAATCGTTTGTCTTCCTGCCATGGCTAACCAGGCAAGCAACCCAAAGGGGCTGTTTTCGTTTAAAAGAAACACTAATCCACAACAATAAAAAAGGAATGACAAAGCCTCAATTCTCCCCCCTCCCAGTTGGAGTTAATGCTTGTGTTTGTGAATGAAGTGGAAATATTACAAACTGAAGTTTTACATTAATTTTTATCTGTAGTTATTCACTTACTACATGTGAATGCAGGGCACAGTTTTCACGAGTCACCTAGAGTGCTTACAGCACATGGCCTAGAAGGAAAAGCTCCACTCTGAAGAGTGAAAGGAATTAGGGTAAAAAGACTGGGTTTTAATCTATACTACAGCTCCTTTTAGGCTGCTCTGGAAGCGTGAGGGGGGCTGCAGAGTTGATGGGAATGAAGGCACTTGGTGTTGAATTCATAGAACAGTTTTCATAAACATACACACAGAAGACACACATTTGTCAGAGCAATTGTATTCAGCTACATAGCTCCAGGAGAAACAGTTATAATGTGACTAATTTATAACAAATTAGCCAAAATCCACAAGGGTGTGGTTCGCTTTGTATAAAAACTCTAGACAGCCAACACAGTAAGATCTTTTCACTGGGAACACGTTCTCTTCAATAAAATCAAGGCAATCTGTTAGAATTAGGTCTTGTGCTCACATCAGTACCAGTATTTACTCCAACTCCTTTAAAGCCCACTCAAGTAAGGGCTGGTCATACAACCATGCATCAGCAGTCAGGTTGTCTGGTTTCAAATCAAGCTTGGGGAGGGGATGAGGAAGAGGGGAGGAGGTGGCACTGTATATGGACAGCCTGGGCCAATGGAGGCAAAGACTTTCTAGCTTGCTTTTGGCTAATCTGGTGTGGTTTTGCAATCTAAACTTGTTAGCCTTCTTGGAGGGCTGGGAAGCGAGAGCTAGAAGCCACTCACATAGTTGTCCGCCCCAGTGCAGTCACGCACCATGCTTCCCAGGAGTGGAAACAGTGTCCCAACCCTTCATTATCTCAGATAACGAGAATTTGATTATATCCTTTTCTGAGGAACTTACAGGTGATAAGGATGGGTTCTGCCTGCCATTCTCATTTAGAAGTGTGTACACACAATTTCTCCACAGGAGGCCTCACACTTGCCTGCGAGAGACCTGACTTAGTCTTAGTAAAAGAATCATTGTGGGATCCAGCAGGTAGGGGAAAATACAGTGAGGTGTGTGCGTGCACACATGCACATCTGTGTGTGCAGCATGAGGTCCGCCAGCACTGTACACACCTGCACTGCCTTTACTGTATTTGCAGTGGTCTATATAGGCATTCACGAAGTAGAATGGGGACAGGTTATGCACTTGTGATTTGGTCTATACTCGGATTTCACTGGTTTAACTGAACTCACATAAACGTCCTTGTGCCGTAGTAAGCATGAGGTAGCATACCCACCAGTGAAGGAACCTTCTACCTACTTCAAGCCCACCACAGAACAAGTGCAGATGGTCAGTTACAACAGAGAAGCTGACTTTAAATTCACATCCTGTCAGTTACTCAGTAGTATATGACAGATGCCACACTATGGCAATACAGCCTTTTAGAAGAGGCAAGACCTTAAATATGGCATTTGCCTCTTCTTTATGTTTTCTAATGTAATTGGCATATGTTGCATTTTGGTGTGTCAACAGAACAACTCTAAACATCTTGCTTTCATCTTTATTTTCATCAATTTTTAAGTGGAACGTCTTGAGCTGAGTATCAGACCTACTTCAAAAGGCGGACAGCCTGGCAGGAACAAATATCCTCTGAACACAGAAAAGAAAGGTTGAGATTTTGCGAGACTCGGAAGAGACCAAAATATCTCCTGCCACTAGAAGTTTTCCTCCACGAAATGCAATTCCAAAGTCCATTGGTATGACACAGTTAATATCACTTGCAAGGTATAGCCTAGGAATGCAGGGTAAATTATTAAACCTACCTGAGGGAAAAATGAGCATATCATTGCATTCTTCACCTGTACAGGAACACATGAACATCAATCCCCCATCTTCCTTCTTTTCCCTCATCAAACACTTCTCTGAGCTGGAGTCATCCAAGATGTGACCATACAGTGTTTTCTGGGGATCATGGCATATTGTTTCTAATGTCACATTTTCATCATTCTGTCTCCTAAAAATGAAAAGGAGAAAATTGAAATCAAAGAAGGAATATTTTACAAAGGGAGCAGACAGGACTGTGCCTGCCCGAAATTTGCCTCTTTTGAGAACTCAAATGGGATTTAAAGAATATCATATGTTCTTTTCCGGCTTTCCTGAATGGGGTAAATTTGGCTGTGTCTGGGCTCCTCACACTGGGGCATTCGTACAATGGCACAGCTATTCCCGTATCATATTACCACTAAGCTCCAATGAGTGCCTTTGAAAATCTCACCCAGAATTATTCAAGCTAATGCTCAATGAACTGCTGTGAACCTCAGAACATACTTTTGGTTTTTGTGGTCACTGTGCAGACAGTAAAAATCTGTGGGAAATCATGATAAAAACTGAATTATTTCCTCAAAATCTGAGGAATTTCTAGTGACTTGGCCTTTTCATTTTGCTTTTGAAGCCTACAATTAGCACAATTTCTACACTGAAGGAGTTATGCTAATGCTCAATGAACTGCTGTGAACCTCAGAACATACTTTTGGTTTTTGTGGTCACTGTGCAGACAGTAAAAATCTGTGGGAAATCATGATAAAAACTGAATTATTTCCTCAAAATCTGAGGAATTTCTAGTGACTTGGCCTTTTCATTTTGCTTTTGAAGCCTACAATTAGCACAATTTCTACACTGAAGGAGTTATCCTTACAATTTCTTTCTTTTTTTTTTTTAAAAAAACCAAAACCAAACCAAAGAACTGGGGAAGCTAAGGTGCCCTTGTACTCAAATGGGATTTAAAGAATATCATATGTTCTTTTCCGGCTTTCCTGAATGGGGTAAATTTGGCTGTGTCTGGGCTCCTCACACTGGGGCATTCGTACAATGGCACAGCTATTCCCGTATCATATTACCACTAAGCTCCAATGAGTGCCTTTGAAAATCTCACCCAGAATTATTCAAGCTAATGCTCAATGAACTGCTGTGAACCTCAGAACATACTTTTGGTTTTTGTGGTCACTGTGCAGACAGTAAAAATCTGTGGGAAATCATGATAAAAACTGAATTATTTCCTCAAAATCTGAGGAATTTCTAGTGACTTGGCCTTTTCATTTTGCTTTTGAAGCCTACAATTAGCACAATTTCTACACTGAAGGAGTTATCCTTACAATTTCTTTCTTTTTTTTTTTTTTAAATAAACCCAATACCAACCATAGAACTGGTGCAAGCTAGAGTTGCCTTGCTGTCAGGGAAATATTTACAGCTGATAATCTGGACCATATTCCTGTGTTTTGTCCTGGTCCACAGATTTCATTTAATTGACACAAGACCCAGAGGCAAAGAGCACTTTACAGTTCTCAACTTATTTGCCTTTTGGATAAATTGGCATGAAAAATCCAGATTGTATCTTAAATTGCACTACAGCCACTTTGTATGGCAATAATAGACACCGACCACTTAATAAAGGAGCACAGGACAAATACGGAACAGCACACTGGACTGATCCTGCATTTCAAGTGTCTACTTCCAATTATGCCGAACATCTCTTCAAGTCAATGGACACAACTAATCCCTCAATAAGTGAATTAATTATGTCTTTCTGTAAGTGGTTCTAATTACATTCCTAAATCAGCAGCAATGTTGCAAATACTCAGTTCTGTTCCTTTTGCTCACTTATGAACTCATTAAGAGTGTTTCTGGTTTTCTTTGGTAGGATTGGCTTACCATTTGTGGAAGGGCAAAACCCCAGTTTTTAGACTGGAATGCAAGTTTAGAGTCAACGAATCCTAAAAAAGTGTTACAACTCATTTTCATATACTCTTGATTTCTTTGAACCTAGACATATGCTATATAAAAAGCACCACGCTTACATCAGAGTCACTACATACACAGAAGATTTTTTTTACCATTAAGAGAAAGTATTTCTACCTATATATAGTAAATAAGCCTCCTGTGAGAGATCTACATAATCTAGTTCACTTTGAAACCTGAGAGAGAATTGTCTTTCTTCAGCAAATGCCACCACAATCCTCTCTGAGTCTCAAATCTGTTTCTACTCTGAGTGCTGTGGGTGGATGCAGCTTAATGACTTGAGCAAAAACATGCCTCTTTTCCAATAACAGCATAAGCTGGAACAGAACTTCTTTAGAAGAAAAAAATCCCCAGAACATTTCATATCAGAATTGTTGTTAACCTCAAGCAACTCTCAATATGCTGAGCACAGATATGAGTTGGAAGCAAGAGAGCAAAGCCTGGTGAGGTAGCAGGGACATTCTGAATATCAGAGCAATCGAGAAAAGTACTAAGTAATGATGAATGTGGGTGTGCTCCCCTCCCCACCTATACGAAGAAATAACTTACCATATAGCGACACAGACTTCATTATTCTTCTCACAGATAGCAGTGATGTTGCAGTTGCTCTTGCACTGATATTGGTTCGAGCAGGTTGTTACTTTAATGTCACAAAATTTGCATAGGTTCGGCATTTGCAATCCATTTTCCTTACTTCCGTCTATAGGTGACGTAATTTCAGCTTAAGGAAAAAAAAGAGAACGAAACTTAATAATGGTAGATTATCAGATTGCATTATTGCTCATTATGAAGATAAGGATTTCATCAGCAGCAAACATTCCCTCCCACCTTAAATTAGAAAATCTTTGATCTTTCACAGCTACCAATTTTCTTTACAACAGGGCAAGTGCCACAGCGTCAAGACCAGGTTAATCAAAGTGAATTTGAAAAGTGAAATAAAATTCTATTGACTTCAGAGGGAGTAAAAGTTGCTTTGTAATTTGCAGAATCAAGCTTATTCTGAGTCCAGTTTGCACTGCAATAACCACTCTGCACTCACCCATTTGCATTATTCACAAGCAGCATATCTGTCCCCCATGTACAATATGTTGCATCATGATCTGTGTGCCAGAGTAACTGTGGATACCATAGTGTGAATGCACATTAGGTGGGTGACATCACTATGACACAGACCGTGATGAATTTTGCAAGTTTGTCTTTACTAACCTGAGGTATAACCTGGGTGTCGTCCCTAATCTGATTACTGTTCACATAGAAAACCACAGAGCTGGAAGCGACTTTCAACTTAAGGTAGATGGTCTGCCAGAGGTTGTGGTGAAACTCAAGCTGGAAATGCAATAGGGCATCTGTGCAGCTCATGTAATCTGCTACTGGAGTCTTCCTGGGCTAACTCAAGGGGACTTGAACTCAAACCAACTTGCAATGACAGTCTGTCTTGTAGAAGTCTACTTTGACCCAACAGCTACATTTCTGCACCCAGGCATTGAAGAATTACTTGCTTACTGGTTCCGAGTCTTAGTATTCACCATCTGCTTCAGTGTGGTAGCAGTAAGGGAAGAAATATTTTTTGTCCCAGTGTGTGAATTTCAGGAAAGATATTTTTATTTCAAAAACTATTTTGAAAAGCCAGTGTGACTACAAGGAACAGAAAATGCCAACATAAACTTTTTTCTAAAGCTAAAATGAATATGCAACTATCTGAGGTGGAGCAGACTATCTACAACGGTTTCAGTCTGACTCACTTTGTAATATATTTGGAAAAGTAGGTTGAACCACTTCAAGGAGATACTAGGCTTCATATAGCACAGTTCTTCTCTTGTAGCCACCTGCATGTTAAAACTATGTTCATATTGCTCTCTGTGGTCAAATGTTGCTAGTCAACCGATAATAGGCAACCAGGGATTCGTAATTTCCCCCTCTCTCCTCCGTTAGCTGAGAAATCAAATTTTTCATTCTAGAACTTCACTATTTACTACCATTAGAATATTTTATTACAGGAATTAAATATACATGCTTTTTCCAGAAGAAAATAAAAAGGCCTCTTGCTAACAATTTCAATGGATTTCTGAGCCATTGTGAGGGACTGAGAGAAAAGTCTTCCCTCTTCATCCAAATCACACATCCTTCTCATGACTAGCATGCTCTGGTACTGACCTAGGGTGTCTGATCTTACTACCATTGTAATCAGTGGCAAAACTCTCAGTGATTTTAATGGTATAGAAGAAGCTCCTACACAGAGGGGAGGGTTATGACGAGCTCACTGGGAGCACTTGGGTGGAGAATGCTGGCAGCATGTTACAGGCTGGCTGAATTTTAAGCCCCAGGCAAACATTTCTTGTTCTTAATTATTTGTGTTGCAACAACTCCCAGAAGCCATGCAGAAGAACAAAGCCTCGTTGAAGTAGGTGTGGTAGGAACTCAAAAGGTCTTGAATCTAGTGTTCTATAAAATATGTGTTAATATAATCATCATTATGGCAAATTGCTCCTCTCTTCTGGATGGTACCTTTTATTTACCAGATGTTGAGAAGAAACTAATAGTTGTATTGATTTATTTAGGTTCCATTAATGATCAAAATAACGTGATAATGAGGGACTGTCCCTCTACCCAGTAAGAGACAATCTATGGTCCTAAAAGCCTGGATGAACAATACAGACAAATGTCAAGGGAGAGATGAAGTGACTCACCCAAGTTCACACAGCAAACCTGTGGCAGGGTGCCAAGCGGCTCACAACTGAGCACGGGGGAAAGACATCTACTGCTCAAACTGCAAAGACTTTATCTACATCTACACTGCTTTCAGCTCTGAGCTCACATGTTTCCGTGTTTCACTGGGCAGCTGTGTCGCGATGGATGCCTCTGCCACAGACACGACTCAGTCCTCTCTAGTGCCCGCAGCACTGGAGCTAAAGGCCACATGAAGGCGGGTCCTTAGGTAAACTGCTTCAAGCACATTATGTTTGTTGAGAGGCAGGGCTCCTTCCTGTGCTGTCCCCGGCGATGCCAGGTTCTGCCAAGACTCACCCACTGGAACAAACGTATGAAAATATGTTTGGACCTCTTCCAAGGAGGGCTCTCCAAACCAAGCAACTTGATTAAAAAAACCCAACAACCAACTATCTGGAACGCAGCAATCCGCTGCAAGGTCACAAACCTTAAGTTTCTAAGTTACAGTGGTAGGCCTTAATTCAATTACTAGCAAACAGCTGGGTAGTTAGGCCCAGCTAATTTCTGAACAGGTTATATTAATGGCAAAAGCTAAAGGGGTTTTAGGACTTCCAGAACTGACTACATTTGAATTTTCTTCCAAAAATTCTTGTAATAGAGGCTGACAGTGCAGTGCCTCTCTATTCATTCCTCTGGCAGTTCAAGGTACTGGATAAACTGCCCAGATGGACAAACTTCCTTCCATGCTTCAGCATCTAATTTAAAGCAAGTGCAGTTTACTTTCTCTAATACTGTCACATTGCTCTAGCAGGTGTTGGTGTGTTGTTCATTAATACAGCTCGGCTTTGCCCACTCTGATAACCCATCTAGTTCCAAACTAACTGGGTTAAAGCCAAGTTTGACTTTCCCCCATCAGACTGATGCTGAAATCAACCTCTGCAAAGGGCCTGAGATTAAATCTGGAGCCAGATGTGAACCTCAACATCACTCTCTTCTGATCACAGCCTGCTATTAGACTCTGAGGACTCAGAAATCCAGGAAAGATTGGTCTCATGTCACATGAACTCAGACCTGTCTCTAATCAAGAAAATCCTGCCCAGAGAATGACAAGTTGGTAGGGTTCTTCCCTAGGGAAGTGTATTCACTCATTCCCTAAGGGACTCACAAGCAGTGAGTGGTTCATGACCAGCAAGATTGCTCCTCTTCTTGTAGTCATTTGAATGTCCATCTCTAAAAATGCTTGACTATCCTGTTGTGCACTTCATACCACATGAGCCAACTCCTCAAGGTTTTCTCCAGTTCAGACAACCAAAGTCACTTGAACACTGCGGACAGAAGCAATCTTTCATTTTGCATGAAAGAAAAGAAGTGGATATAATGGGAAAGTCAATGGAGAAAACACAGATTTGCAAATCTGAAATAAGCCATCCTAAAATGTGTGCTTGTCTCCTAAAATGTGAGTTTTGCCATCTACTCTCTGTTAGTTTTCTTATTTTGACTTCTACAGGAAGCCTAATTCTAGCTTTCCTTGCTTCCTTGTCCATGGAGAGGGCTCCAAATAAAAGGCTACGGTTTCTTTGCTATGAAGCTTTCAACCAACCAGTTCAGCATAGATCAGTCACCGTGGTTAAAATGCATGGAACATGCAAGCCAACACGTGGGCTGGATATTATGGAAGAGACACCAGAGCAGCCACATAGGAAATATCAACTCCGTGGATACTGGTGAACAGGCTTGCGGGACAATATTTTTACTCTATGGTTCACATCTTTTTTATGATTTCTCAGGACCTTATAAACAGTATGCCTCACCCAAAGTCTATTGACTGTCTTGAAGTTGTTGCTTTGTGTCTGCTGTTTGTAGATGCGTAACTTTCATTGAGGCCTCAGGCTATAGTTTACATTCCTCTTATTTTTTAGTATCATTACAGAACTCTCAAAAGCCAACAACATTTAAATAAAGCCCAAACCAACATGCTGTCTTTTTGGAAATATCTACACTGATGATCTTAGAGGTCTTTTCCAACCTCAATGATTCTATGATTCTATGATTCTATGATTCTACTGGAAAACTTTATTTATGTCTTAGGATGCATTTCAGAAACAGCAGCCAATTTCTCTTATTCCTATCTTGTAAAAATAGTTACTGTATTTCTCTTCTTTCATCCAGTGCCTCTGGCACATGTATACATATAAAATAGCACTGCTGAGCAGCTAGATCCCATCCCTTCAAAAAAAAAAAATGCTGAGGGAGATGTTGGGATGAGAACTCAACTACTCAGCTGCTGTCAAAGAATTCCACCTGATGGGAGAGGCTTGAATTTAAGACTTCACTCCACTACATCATGGAAATCTGCGAGGAGGAGGATGCCTTTATCAGAAAGCCTTGGAGGAGATTGTCCTTGTTCTCCCAAAGAACACAGCTCCATGACATCATGTCTCAGTGGTTGGAAAGCACAGTAGCAGCTATGAAGAACGTCCAAGCTGTATTACCTTCTCCATCCAACAGAAAGACACCAGGTTTTGTAGGAACAGTACTAAAGACAGCATTTTTTCTATTTTGCCTACCACCCCCAGTACACAATCTATAACCTCAGCAGAACTTTGATAGTGATGGGGACACTGCCAGCATCATGAAAGTGGAGTTGTGATGATGCAAAAGCACATTCTTTGCCTTACAGATGCCGATGAATCAACTGCAGGAGGGAAGGAGTCAAGGAAAATGAGTGATCCGAGCTTTGCTTTTAAGACCTGGATATAACCTCATGGTTATTCTTAATTATATTGATTATGTTCATTGCAGTAATACAAGAAAGAAAAGATAGAACCATAATCAACCCCAAAGATTAAAAAATCATGAGTTACAAAATCGCAAGACTAGCCAGAGAGATCATGGAAATAAAGGAAGGAAAAAAACCAAAACAAACCCAACCAAAACCCAACTGCTGGGTTGTCTTTTATTTGCCATTGCTGCCTGTACTCTTAGAGTGCATTTGAGTCATGTTTTGAAACTTTGGCCATAAGCGGGGGGTTGGAATTACTGTCTAACTTACAA